CTTGTATTTATGGCTTTTACAATATGCATCATTTTATAGTTATGTTTATTTATAACATTTATTTTGAAAAGTACTGCTATAATTAAATTTTACAACCAATTAGGTTGATGTGTCACTGTCATCTAGTTAAATTATACTAGTTTAGGTCCTTGAAACAACTAGATAGACAATATTCTCAGCAGCTCTTTTTTTCCTTGTAAACATTTAGAAAGAGAAATGATAGTCAGTGTCTTCAAGAAATCTTAAATCTTTCAGTTTTTCTTAGGAGGGAGGAAGCCCAATCACATTATTGCAATCATTTTATAATTAGAGAAGGACATATTGTGTTAATTAATGTTTGTTTTATAATTAATATTGCAATATGGCTTATGGGGATTGCAAGGGATTCAAAAAGTAAAAGATTATGCTGTAAATAAAGAGGTTAGGTATTCATTAATTTTATAGCCAAGAAGTAGACCTTTGAATGAGTTCTGAATTTGACTGAAAAGTAATCCTAGAGAAGTAGACAATATAATTTCTCCTTAAATTAGATATCATTAAAGATTCATATCCTGATTTTGTATATTTCTACAATGTTCAGTTTGTATAAATGCTTGTCAAGAAAATTTCAGTTACTTTAAGTATTATTTTTAGTATTTTGCTTCCAGAAAATGTGTTTTCCAATCTAAGCAGGGTCAGACCTGGTTAATAATTTAATGGAAATCACCGAGGAATATCACCTCAATAAAATGGGATAAGGTAAAGGCCAATAACTTTCACATTTTTGTCAAAGAAACTACATATAAACTATATTGACCATTCATAAAATTGCCATTTATGCTTAAATAAAAAGAACATACATTTTAAGATTTTTTTAAAGAATCGCAGGTGGCAACACCATCATGACTTGCTGATTTTGAAAAAAAAAAGCTTTAAAGCGGTCAAACCTAGTTTTAGATAGTAGATGATATGAAAATTTCAGGTCTGTAGACTAGATTTGGACATTAAAACCATGTCCCAAGAAAAATAAAACAATGTAAAGACAGTTTCTTATTGTAAAAAAGAAAACCTAAATTGTGCAAAAAGTCAAGTTTGGGGCATGAGAACTTGATTTGAAGATGTATCAAGCGGTAGAGATGATTCAGTTAAACAATGTGAGAAAGCATTCAGAGTATGATTTCTGGAATTCTTTTGTATTAACTTCAGCCTGTATCACTTGGCTAGGAATAAGGATTTAATAGTGGAACAATCTGTAACCTTGCAAGGTGCTCCCCAGCTGCCTCTTCCATATGGATGCATTTGAAATATATTTTGTTGCCTGATTTCGTCTCATTTAAAATCTCCAGTATGAACTGTCCCACTTTATTTTGCCTATTTTTCTTGACATATGAAATTTGCTCCTGTATTATTTGGTTTTTATAACACTATCCTGCTTGTTGAGACATCCTAAGATCATTAGCATAATTTATTGGTCACATTATCTGCTTCCCAGTGTATACACGCACATAACACAGAAATACAGTATGTTACTTAATTAAACAGGAGAAAATACAGCATCAGCAAAACTTGAAAAGGGGATTGGTAAAACTTATAGAAGCTAGGCTCTGATTTAATATTATATATTAAAGCCAGGGTTATATTATATTATATGTTATATCCAGGGTCAAGGTTAATTCAAAATAACCTAAAACTACATCTGATCCAGTGGTGGGATTCAAAATTGTTTACTACCAGTTCGGTGAGCATGGCTTTGTGGGTGTGGCTTTGTGGACGTGGGGTATACTGCAAAATCCCCATTCCCTCCCTACCCCACTAACCTGCTTTCCAGCTGCGTTCTCCTGTTCAGGGCAACAAAAGAAGATCAGCTGGGAGCAGCCTATTTGCTGTTTCTCCAAACTACTCAAAATTTCCACTACAGGTTCTCCAGAAGCTGTCAGAACTAGCTGAATACCACCTATGATCTGATCTCATTCTGACAACCCTTGTCCCTCTTGCATTTCTACTTCCATGCAAATAACTTCATTTTTGTTTTGCTTTGAAGAGTTTACTGATGACATTGGGAAATAGCTCTGATTGATTTTCTGTTACAAATGTGTTGAAGCTTTAAGATTTACAAGATGCATGTTTATGACTAAAAGAGGAGTGTTTACTGAGGACATATTGGAGTGGAACATTACATTCCCTATATTTTTTGTAGTGATAAAGAACAAACATGATTTTCTTCTGGATGACTTTATATCTATTGAGTAAAACCATTTAAAGATGACATTGAAAATGGAGGTGTAATGTACAAAAATGTGTGGAATATTTAGGGTGTTTGTCATATCTAGATTTTAGTGCATATAGAAAACTGGGGAGGGACTTTGGAAATTTAACTGCCCATAATGTCACTGATTCATTTCCTCTTTTCTACCTGTTTAATTTGAGAAGTTAGCTAGTTTGAATTCAATGGGTTATCAAAGCCCTGCCCCTTTTACATGCGTGAGATGTGTTAAAAGGGGGCAGAACTTGATTACCCAGTTGTGCTGTCATTTTGATATCATTGAACCCTTAATCTGGACCCAGAAAGTACTTATATGAATAGGATGGCTGTCCAGAGACAGTCATTTATCTGGCAAACATCAATCTGAAAAATAAATGAGTTGCAACTGCCAAATGAAGTGAAAAAATATACTTGTGCTTTCACAGGTCTGCTATTCATTTGTTGGCTTATGCCTTTATTCTCAGATCTGCTTTTAAGGCCCTGATCGTATGCTGAATAATATACTGTAAATAGTAAGATTGGTGAGTGTAAAACACATGACTTCTTAGAGTAGCCAGCAGTCCTGGAAGTCTTTTTCAATTCATTTAAGCTTAGCCCTTTCAGCAGATAACCCTAAGAAGAGCTTGAAGCCTTCTTCACTCTTCAGAGTGAAGTTACTCTTCAGAGTTAATTAAGAATGTGATTAGCTAGAATGATTCAGAGATAAACACTTACGGCTTCTCCTTAAGTATATCAAATATTTGTCTTCCTAAATTGCCTTTTTCTGGCCTCTGATAATTATACTTAATGTTAATCTGTATCTGTTATGTATGACCAATTTGATTTTTGTGTGAGAATATCAGCAACTAGTACCATAAATGGAATAATACTAGATGGCCAAATTATCAAAAAATCTTACTATGTGAGCAGTGGTGGGATCCTACCAATTTAACAACTGGTTTGGTGATCGTGCATGCACAGTTTTGAGAAAAATACTTTCCACATTACTGCTGGGGAGGAAAACAGCTGAGGCGTGGCAATCTGTTCTGCCACACAACTCCGCTGAGAAAATATAGGTTATAGTTAAGTGCAGGGGTGGATGGATGGGTTCACTGACAAAATGGCGAAGGACAAAACACGCCTGACTAAACCACGTCGCTGACGTCATCAACAGGGCGACAACAGCGCGGAGACAGAAGCACGCTGTAAACCCTAAACCTAAACTTAACCCCTAAACCTAAACCTAACCCCCCTAAACCTAAACCTAATCCTAACCCTTACCCTAACCCTAAACCTAACCCTAACCCTTAACCTAACCCTAACCCTAAACCTAACCCTAACCCTTAACCTAACTCTAAACCTAACCCTAACCCTTAACCTAATCCTAAAGCTAACCCTAAATCTAACCCTTACCTTAAGTTGAATCGGCTTTCTTTCAACGTGCTATTTAAAGCACCCTTCTTTCTCCGTGCTGGCTGTTGTAGCCGCGTTGATGACGTCAGCAAGGTGGTTTAGTCGGGCGCGGTTTTGTCGTTCGCCCTTTTGACGGGTCACAGATGGATGGGCCCACTTCATCATTGGAATGAACTGGTTCGCTCCCAGATGATGGTTGGAGCTACCAGTTTGCCTGAATCAGTCCGAACCAGTAGAATTCCACCCCTGTATGTGATCAGTCAAGATCATCTTTAAAAGAGTTATATGTAGGCCTTAATTTAAATCTATAATAGTTTTCATTTAAAACAGTGTTGTGAAATTGGGCAATTCTTAGACATATTCTTAGATGTATGGACTTCTGCAAATTTTCCACCCAGCCAATACTGGCTTAGAAGTAGAAACAATACACTATTTTTATACAAATAATGGCCCCACCTGGAAACACACTTTCCTTCCAAAGTGGTTTGTCAACCACGGGAATAAATGGGGAGAATATAAAGGTAGTCTCCCCATTTCAATTAAATTTGAATTGTTCAAATGCTATAAAAACAGTTTAAATATAGTCAGCCAGCTATTCTGAAAGAATTAGTTAGCTGAAAACAAAGAGTTTGGAAACAGTATTCTGAGTAGGTTCTGTTTCTTAAAATAATTCCTCATTCTACACCTAATTTATAAGACAATGGCAAATACAGTAATCTTCTAACAGATACTTCTTTGTGATTAAAAATGAAAGCATTTTTTTTCATCCAATGGCCTGATTAAAATCATGTGCATGTGTAAGGGTGGTGTAGATTTTTATTTAGTTATATTTAATGTAACTAATATTTACTTCATTTAATGTTCTCTTCCCAAATTAATGTTTGAATAAAAACTTAATTTTTGATTAGTGTACAGTTCTAATTATTGAACTTTCTATAAATTTTATGTTGAGGAAGACTTTCTAGCTTAGATTTGTATATTGGTTTGCACCAGTGTTGTTCAAACTTGGCAACTTTAAGATGTGTCAAGTACAACATGTTACAGTTGCCAACTTTTTTAAAAAAACTGTTTTACACAACACTGAATGTTGAGTCCATCCAGAAGTATTTAATCCCAGTAGCCTCCTAGGATTCCTTTCCTTTCGTTTCCAAAATAAGTTGCTACTTTCCCCAGCTACCAATTCTTCTAATTTCCTCAGCTGAAATATATTGTGAATATCAACTGTGTCGAAGCATTCAATCTGCCAGGAATGTGCAATTAATTTTGAGTTCACAACCTTCTTGTACAACACGGAATATTCAATACATAGATTTGCCTCAGTGTCTCGGCTAGTAAAATGATTCCTCGTCTCTCTTCTTTTTCACAGGATTGGAACGAATTGCAAGAGATTCTTCTTATGAACAAGAAGGAAAGGTTCAGTTTGTCATTGATGCGGTATATTCAATGGCATATGCATTACACAACATGCATAAAGAACTTTGCCCTGGGTACATTGGACTCTGTCCTCGAATGAGCACAATTGATGGCAAAGAGTTGCTTAGTTACATCCGGGCAGTGAATTTCAATGGTAAGTTCATATTATTTTTTATCTGTGCTAGATTTTTCATTTGCCACAAAGTGCACAAAGAAACTCTTTATGGAAACATAAATCGGTCTCTCTCTGTCTCTGTCTGCCTCTGTCTCTCTCTCTGTCTTTTTCTTTCTAAAAAAGAACAAAATGAAGGAGCACCTTGCCTTCTTTTTTAAGCTGATGTTAAGTTTTGCCTGCAAAAGGTAGATATTAAACATAAATTTATGTCAAGCCAAATAGACAAATCGAAAATTGCTCCACTAAAAACAAATTATGTAATGCTTCTATAACTGTGATAGATAATATACTAATTAAAGAAGAGACAGACAGAGATCATGCACTCTTTAGTTTTAATTGTCTTTAAAATAGCTTAATGATGTCTCCATAGATACAGAATGTTGATAGAAGCATCATTTTTTTCTGAATATTTCTATTATGATACTTCATTGTTACACATGCTATATTGTTAGCATGCTTGATTTATTCTAGGTTACTATGGATAAAATGTTGGTTTTAGTCCATTCTTTGCATGAGTACTCCAAACTATTTAGGAAGGAATGATATTCAGTTGGTGGTAATGTTGGTTTACTGGTGGCTTAAAAATCTCAACTTGTTTAATAGTAATGACTCGAAGATTCAGGAATTATACTAAGCAAACTTTTTCTAGGTTGTTCTATGTAGTTCATGGCTGTCAAACTCCCGGCCCATGGGTCGAATACGTCATGTGCTGGCCATGCCCACGTCTGGTTTAGCGAAGGGAGGAAAAGTCCCGATACGTCATGAGATGCTGCCATCACGATACGAATTTGACACACCTGATGTAGTTAGTCTTACTTGCTTACTCAATGAGAGGATTATAGGCATGAGCAAATTATATATATATAATTATTAATATATATATATTAAGTCTAAGTAACTCGGTTATTGTTACTGTTCTTTACAAAGAATTATGTTTGACCTCAGCAATTAAGCAAAAAATGATACATACTATTGAGTTTTCTCTCTCACTTCTAAGTCAAACTCTATGAAATATTGTACTGTCGGCATCTCCATGCTGAGAAAATATAATTAGTGTTCCGTTGGTGTGATCAATAAAAGTTTCTAAGTCAAAGTTTAATGTTTAATGGGTCCTAGGATGAAGAGGAGAAGGGGAAGGTGAAATAAAGCACCTGCTCCCTCCTGAAAATTCATTGTTCTCCTGCTGTTGGATTATGTTTTATACATTTTTCAAAGGGAAAGCCAGGATAATCTGTGTAATAATATTCTTTTTGCAGAATGCCTGCAAACTATAGGCAGAGCAGCACTATTAGACTATACTCTAGTGACCTCAGCTGCTAGCCTTCCTTTAAAAAGCACAAGGTCGCTTTCAATTTAGCTTCCAAATGGAAACTGTTTGTGTGTTTCTGATGCTTTTCCTGAAGCCAAACAAACAAGCAGGCAACCCTCCAAACATTTGTTCAATAGGCACATTTGCTGTAGTAAAAGTATCTCATCTTTCTTTGATTTCCCTTTCTGTAATTTCCACAAAAGGAATGTTAGACTTTATATAACAAATACAATAATAGCAAGAATGCATTGTTTATTTTTATTTTATTTTATTGATTTCATATTTGTTTTCATTCAAAACATTGTGAGTTAGATGCAAACATAACTGAATTTAGAGAAGGAGTATTAATTCATGAATCACTTAATTGATTTTACTGCATCAACTCTAAGATTCAGTCTGGGCCAATCTTTATATTGTTGTGATTTTGAGATTGTTATATTCCTATATAGAGAACCAGTTTGCTGTACTGGTTAAGACATAATTAGGCTAGAAACCAGAAGACTATGGGTTCTAGTAGTGCTTTAGGCATAAAGGTAGCTGAGTGTCCCTGGCCTAGCCACTCTCTCTAAGCCCTAGGAAGGAGGCAATGCCAAACCACTTCTGAAAAAGAAAACTGCAGGGGCTTCCTCTATAGCAGGGGTGTCAAACTGGAGGCCCACAGACTGGATGCATGCCCATCCTGTCTCCACAAAGGCAAAAAAAAATAATCCATCCATCCATCCATTCTTCTACCCATCTATCTATCCTTCCAATGGTTGTGTAGACAAATTCATATTATAATCATTAGGATAGGGACTAATAGAAGTTCCTGGGGTTAATATATAAAGAAAATATTTTCATTTGGTTGCTATAGATATTATCAAAAACTTGAATTGTTTATTACTTATATATGAATGAGAATTACTAACCTGACCACAATAGATTACTAGCAATATTAAATGCAATTAAAGTTATTTAAATTAACTGAACTCTTGTTTTACATTAAATATACCAAAACCAAATACTGTACCTGAAATAACTTATGGACAGCAATTGGTGTTGTTGTATTCAGACATACAAACATTTAAATGGATACTTTATCTCTTTATATTATCAGACATGGGGGAAGATTCTGTTATTTTGATGAGTTGTGGAGTCCTTTGTGCTGTGTGTGGTTGTTTGCTTGCAGATATTTCATTACTAAGTAACATCATCAGTGAGAATACAAGTTGTCTTTGACTTACGACCATACTTGAGCCAAAAATTTATGTAATGTAAGACATTTGTTAAATGGATTTTGCTCCATTTTTTAATCTTTCCTGGCACAGATGTTAAGCAAATCACTGAAGCTGTAAATTAGTAACCCAGTTGTTAAGTGAATTTAGCTTGACTTTGCTTGTCAGAAGGATGCAAAAGAAGATCACATGTTCCTGGCACATGGCAACCATCATAAATATGAACGAGTTGCCAAACACCTGAATTTTGATCATGTGACCATGGGGATGCTACAATGGTCGTAAGTGTGAAAAATGGTTATAAATAACTATTTTTCAGTGCCATTGTAATTTTGAACAGTTGTAATGAACAGTTGTAAATTGAGGATTGCCTGTATGTGGGGCTTGCTCCATGTTTATATACAGATAAAATTATCTACTTTGAACATGAAGTACACAGTAACTTTCCTAGTGAGTTACTGTTTCCCCTTTTGCTTTCAACAATCAAATTTCTTCTTGTTAGCTTCTGATCAGAGGTGGGTTCCTACCAGTTCGGACCGGTTCGGCTGAACCGGTAGTAATTTGGCAGCCTGGGTCACTGGAACTGGCAGTGGCCCAGGCCTACCATGCCCCTGTACCTGTTCTCCTATGGTGGACCAAAAATTTTGCGTGTAAAACTGGCAGTAATGCCAGCAGCAACCCACCCTGGTTCTGATTCCAGTGCTGAGAGGATATGTAGCAGTTCCTCCATGTCATTGTGCCATCCATTTCCTACTAAAAAAAAACCTATTAAATTAATGAGCTGCCAAAAGGTTACAGATGAGATTTATATTTACTTTCACGTGGCTGTACGAATCTTCCACAACAACTTATATCTAAGAAGATCTGAAGTGCTTCAAGGTTTGTTTTAAAAACATTTATCATCACTGGTATATTTTCCAAGTCTAATTACAACTTTACAAAATGAAGGGATTTATTTAAAGGTAGTAAAAAATGACATACACTCACCTGAACATTTGAATCAGCCTCAAATTGGTATTTTTGAAAATTGTTCTTTTTTCCCCCACACCTCTTTTCCGTTCTAGCAGGTATGATGTTTATTGTTTTACTATTATTTTCTAATCCATTGCAGTGATCCTGAGAAAAATATTGCTCAATCATAGGATAAACATATGCAGCAATAGCTATCTATGCTTTTTACTACTTTTAAATTTGTATTGAAATTGTCTCCTTTCACAATTGACCAGTTCTGGAATTGTTCTTTTTAGCTTATTAAAAATAAAATCTTAACTTTTTTATGGACATACTTGAGTAGTGTTTCTGGGGAAAATGCAGCAGATTAATAACCATCTAATTCTACTTCTGAGTGAAGTATTCTCTATTGGAATTACATTTTGCATTAGTTTTGGTAATCAAAGTGTAACTATTTGTTTTTAATACCTCTTTTGTCTTGTAAAAAAAATGTTATTCTGCCAGTGGCTTCATCCATATAATGTTGTATGACACTTTCATGACAGGTAAGGAAAAGCAGCCAATGTAGATGGAATAGCCACCACCTTGTGGAAATAATAAAGCAATTGTAGGATAGAGCCGAGATGGTGCAGTGGTTAGGGTGCAGTACTGCAGGCCACTTCAGCTGACTGTTATCTGCAGTTCAGCGGTTCAAATCTCACCGGCTCAAGGTTGACTCAGCCTTCCATCCTTCCGAGGTGGGTGAAATGAGGACCCAGACTGTGGGGGCGATATGCTGACTCTGTAAACCGCTTAGAGGGGGCTGAAAGCCCTATGAAACGGTATATAAGTCTAGCTGTTATTGCTATTGCTATTGATTGACTATACTGCTAAAGCTGCTGCTCCAACCATGGAGCAAACATTATTAAATATAATAATAAAAAACCCTGAATTTTATGTCCCTTTTTCAATCTTACTCTTAAGGAGTTGCTAACAACTCCATCTCTTTCTACTTTCTGGAATATAGACCATCATTTCTGGAAGAGAAAATGACCGATTTGTGATTTGATCCATGCGTAATGCTAAACATGTTATATGCATGAGCCTAGGGTTGACAGATTCATCTAGCCTGTGGCTTTCTTTTTTTCTGCTGAGTCTTCAAGAAGATGAATGTTGACTTCCATTTTAAATAGCTCTGGGTATCCATTGCTTCTGAGCTCAGAGAAATCATGCCAAGTTTAAAATTCTGTTCTGTTTCCTTAAACCATAAGCATCAAAACCATTTCCTTGTCTTGTTTTCTTACTTTCTAATCAAAGTTTTCAACCCAAGCTGCCTCTTACAAAGGTCATAGAACTACTTTGGACTTATTCAGAGACTCCTAGAATCTTAGAGTTGGAAGGGGACATTTAGCCCAACTTTTTATTGTTAAAGGAGTAAGTTTTCAAATCTCCTTACTGGTGGTTACCAACCTCTTCTATCAACATTACTATATCTACCAAGAAAAGTACTGATTAAAAATGACATA